TTCATGGTCTATATATATTAAAAAAAAAAAAAGATGCTGTAAAAAACATGCACCCAAGTAAAATGAAAGAAATCAGTATTCTTTGCTACACACCCAACACAAACTAACAGTACATTTCAAGCATGTAAAGCTTTTCTACAAAGTGGACATAGTGGAAAAGACATAGATTTACCGTCAGCCTCAAATTGCTGCTTGGTCACTTGCCACTTGAGTTTCCTTGGAAGGTTCCTTAACCTGTTTGAGCTTTGATTTTCTCATCTGCAAAAAGCAGATAGTAACATCTATTGGTGGCAAGCCAAGGGAGCATTATAGAAATCATGGAGGACTCCAGATGAGCTGCAGCTAGCCTGCAAGCCCTAGAGACTGAGAAATTCCATCTGTGACAGAGAGCTGGCAGCAGAGGCCTCAGCTGAGTGAGTGCTCAGTGAGTTGTAAACGCAGGTGGACTCTAACTTATGAGATCTCTGACATAATCATAGGACAGCTCGTCCCCATCTGTACCCTCCACCTGCCGAGCAGCTTTCACTCTGCCCTCCCCATCACTGGTTCCTCTGCTGCTGCCGTTAGGAAAGCTGTGGTGAACAAACTCATAGGTATTAGAGAGTACCTTGGAGAGAGGTCAAGAAACCAATTTAATGCAAAGTAAATCAACAAGACACCATTTTTCAACGATCAAACTAGCAAAGACATTTTCTTTTTCTGTCTTTTTTTTTCAGACCAGGATTTTCTGGAAAGCAAAGGCATGTTAAATGATAACACTCAAATTTGGCAAGAGTGTAATAAACTAACTTTCTTATGCACAACTGGAAGAGTGGGAACAGGTACAACCCTTCTGGAAAGCCACTGGACAAACAAATTGGAAAGGAGACATGGAGATGTTTAGAATGTCATGTGCTCTGCCTCAGTGATTCACCTTCTAGGAATTTGTCTGTAAAAAATAATATTGATCACACACGTGACCGAAGTTTTATGTCTGAGGCTGCTGCAGCCTCATTTCCCATGGCACAGGTTTTAAATAACCTAAATATTCATGCACAGAAGAATGATTAGATTACCAAATATATGCGTATAGTGAGACTGTGACTCATTCAGATGAAATGTTTCCTGAAGACAAGTTAATAAAATGGAGAAATGCTCATGATACATTATAAAGTGAAAAGTGGAGATGCAAAACTATATACACTGGAAACAACCCAAATGCCTATCAACAAACAGATGGATAAACAAAATGTAGCATATATGTACAATGGAATATTATTCAGCCTTGAAAAGGAAAGCAATTGTGCTATATGCTACAACATGAATGAACTTTGAAAACATTATGCTAAGTGAAATAAACCAGACACGAAAATAGAAATATGTATGATTCCACTTACATGAGGTACCTAGAATAGGCAAATTCATAGAGACAGAGAGTAGAATTGAGGTTATTCCACTACAAAGGCTGTGGGAGGAAGGAACGGGGAATTATTTTTAGCGGATATAGAGTTTCAGTTTGGGATGATGAAAACATTCTGGAAAAGGATAGTGGTGATAGTTGCACAATATTGTTAATACACTTACTGCCACTGAATTGTACACTTGAAAATGGTTAAAATAGTAACTTTTATGGTATGTATATCTTACCACAATAAAAGGTGCATTAAAAAACTGTTACACAAGTTTATTAAAAAATGCATGCTTTGTTTAGCTGGTTATGGTGGCACATGCCTATAGACCCAGCTACTCAGGAGGCTGAGGCGGGAGGGTCACTTGAGCCCAGGAGTTGGAGGTTGCAGTGAGCTATGATGATGCCACTGCACTCTAGCCCAGGCAACAGAGTCAGACCCTGTCTCAAAAAAAAAAAAAAAAAAAAAATCATGCTTTGAAACACAGCACAATGTATAATGACATGTTAAGATGTAATTTGGGCTATTGGTTGATTCATTCAAAAGAGAATTACGTTGAGCACCTGCCTGTGCCAGTTACTCTGCTGGTTCTGGGGACAGAGCTTGGTAAACAAGACAAATGGCCTCTTACTCCAAGGGAGGGGTAATAGATATTGAGGTTATAAGAAAATTCTTTCTTTTTCACCCCTTACTATATTTTCCAAGTTCTTTTCAATGGATATTCTACAACAGTTTTATGTTTGGGGAAAAATGCAATTGGAAGAAGGGAGACAGTTACAAAAGGCAATGTCGGCTTGAGATGGTTGTTCATTCTCCTGCTCTCCAGCTCTCTCCCTTGTTGCTCACACCATCCACATGCCTCATCCACACGGAAACGACTAGGTCCGATGATGGGGAGGGAGTGCAGGGGGATCAGAACTTAGGGAGCAAGAGACACCTGTGGTGCCTGCTTGGTCACCTCTCCCTGGTCTGTGTTGGGCTTTCCGGCTTCCAGAGACGTCTGTACCGCAGTGAGGCTGTCAACCCCACCCGCTCTGTGCAATGATAGTTTACACCAGTGTTCAAAAGTGCTTAACTGCTTCTCTTTTTTGGTGCCAGGATTTTTATTCTTTTAACAAGAATTCTGCAATAACCCTTGAATAATTGCTTTGACCTCCCCCTAGTTACAACAGGCCATCACACTTCTAGAGACCCACAAAGCTGATCTGAAAATAACCAGGCAGGGGTTCATAAACGCACTGGCTCAGCACCTTTCCTCCAAGAAATCGTTGCTAATTTAGGGCTCCTCTTACAACATAGCAAAACTGAAAATAATTTCAGGGGTTTGCAATGCAAAAAGTCCCCAGTGGCCTCATTTCCACATCCTCTCTCCATCCCTCCCCAAAATAATTGACCGTAAATTCTTGTTCATTCTTGTCTGATCTTGGCTGGGATTAGGGAGGGAGCCTGCCCTAGATGGATGGAACTCTGCTTTCTCCAGCGTGGGGTGCGGAGAGCCCCCCGCCTGCTCTGTGCAGAGGCAGGAGGAGCAGTTCGGATCCTGGGGTTTCCTCTCATCTCGCACAGCATCAGGCCTCACGCTGGCAGAGATGAAAGAGATCTGCAAGATGAGATCCCAGCGTCTTTGGCTGGAACCCTCCATTATCCTTCTGTACCCTTTGGCCCAGGGATCTATTTTAGGCAGTAACTTCCACTCCCTCTCTGTCAGAAACCTCTCCCGTCATTGAACTAGATTTTGGAGGTGTAGGAACATCTGGTTTTTGGACTGTGAGTCCCCTGAAGGCTGATCGCATGTTTAATTTTAGCTGTTGGATGAATGTTTAATTTATGAGTATCTGATGAATGAATAAAACCAGCTTTGATGGCTTCATTTTAATCTTATTCCCAAGACACATTTTAATCTCTGTATTTCCCCCACAAAAACTGACTTTTCTTCTTCTCCATTTCAATTCTTTTCATCTCCCCATTCCCAAAAACTCCAATTATCCACTCTTCCCATTGAGAGTTCATGATCTAGTAGCTTTCCCTAAGGAAGACTGTATGGTCTGGTGGTTATAAAGCGCAGACTGCCTGAGTTCAAATCCTGAGTGCTCCCCGGCTGGTTGGCACCTCTGTGAACCTCAATGGCCTCATTTGCACATTGGGGCTAATCACAGAAACTGTGTTATAGAGTTGTTGGGGGAAGGGTGACAAAACTAAAGCCCCATCATAGAACCTGGCAGCTGAAGAAAAACTCTACGAATGTTCCTTATTAGTAACATCTACATAGGCAATCCTTTCTTCATGGTCTTCGTCCAACTCTAGCCTTCATCACGAGAGGAGAAAATGTATGATTGACCTTCGAGGAAAATTCTGGAAGAATGGGTTGCTTGTTCCAGAGCAGAGGTGACCAAGAAATGTAACAGCTGCCCTTGCCAGCAACTTCCACCCTGAATGCCGTCTCACGTGCCTCAGTGCCTTTGAACCTCCAGCTGCTTGACCTTCTGCTCTCAAAGAGTGAACTTAGCAAAGCCCAGGCTCACTGAAATTCAGCACCCCTACTTATCATCCATATGCTACCCTGTGAACAGAAGGAAGCTGCAGCCTTGGGCGTACAAACAATCTCCCCAACATTCAGTAAGTGGCAAAGTGGAGATGTGATTCCAGGTCCACACAGGATCAATCGGGGACCTTTGGGCGACACGGAGCTGCTGGGGTTGTTCTTCATTTCCACTTAACCCACCACAATTCCACGAAATCTACCCTGCTTCTGACACTCCAGCCCCTGAGCCAGTCCTGGACTCCATGTGTGCAAAGCATGAGTCTCCCCACTCCTCACATACCTGGTGGGGTCTGAGAATAAGCCGGCAGCCCAGGGGCCCTGCCACAGCCTGGCCACCACTGCTGGACTCGGGTCACTCCCTGAGGGCCCTTGGGTCTTTGGCCTTGTTCCCGAGCCTGTGTCGTGCCTGCCATGGACAGATTTCAGGGAACTGTGCCTCTTCCTCTGGGCCTGAACATCCAAAGGCTGCCTGTCTCCCCCACTCCCAGGCCTTGCAGCCTGCTACAGACTCCTCCGGTCACCTGCAGCTTCGGAAACTAGGGCCCTCTTTCTTTCTTACTTCCCACCACTCATTCTGTCAAGAAGCTATAATATTTTGTATCCAAGTAGTCTCGGTTTCAACAAACCATAAGCTTGCTAGTGTCTCTTTACACAGTGAAATCGGACTGTCTACTCCAACTGTGACTTTAGGCAAATCATTTCACCACTCTGAGGCTTAATTTCCTCCCAGTTAAAATGAGCATTAAATTATATGACCTTTTAATATGCTATAAAACTCTGAATTTAGAGCTGAACATCTCTATTATCTAAGGATGCTGAGAAGGAAAAGGTGGTTATGGGGCTAACGTCATTTTAGTCTTTATGTAGGTCTGGCTGTCTTCCAGCGGGAGATTCTGAAAATTTTCTCCATCATAAACATTTCTAGTCTTTATCGTCACCACATATCCTCATGCTAGTGTTTGTTTGAGAATCACCTTTTCCATCTGTGCAAGCTACATCATACTGATCCTTTTTTTTTTAACTTTAAAATCCACCTTTGACACTTTGTAAACTCCCATCAGCTTTGTATATTAGGCTACTGGCGTGACAACCATGATACTTTCCTTCCATCTGAAAATGATTTGGAGACATAAAGCAACAAAAATAACCTTTGAAATGCAACATCACCCTGATGCTATTAGGGAGCACCGAAGTGACTGGATTTCAGCTATTTCAATGCTCTGTACTTTTTGTCTCTCAATATGTGCCGTAACTGTTGGCTAAATGATTAATTTTCATAGTTCCTTTCTCATTTCTGCTTCTTAGCTTTTTAAAAAAATTTCTTTGTTTCTTGGCGAGCAGAATTATTTCCACCACCTGACCATGAGTCATGACCTCATGCTCCTCTTTCAGAGCAGGAAGAAGCTTCACTAATTCAGTAATGCAGTCATTGAACAAATGAACTTCCACAATCCCCATTGAGTCCTATACTTTGCCAAAAAAAAAAAAAAAGAGAGAGAGAGAGAGACTCATATAGGCTTTTGGGGTCTTCACAATCCAAAACATCTATTTGAAACTAAAAATTAAATTATTCCATGTTTATAGGCATGTTGATTGGTAGAAAAGTATGAATCATTACGTGGATTTTTTTTTTTTGGTCCAACCCAATTCTGTATTTTCCTCTGGAGAAGTTGACTCACTGAGCCTACTTCCTTTTCCTGGAAACACAATCAAATGGATTTCCCCGTTGCTTCTAGGTGGGGCAGCACGGGTTGTCCCGGCGAGTGAATGTAGTGGAAACGATACTGCCCCTCCGGGGGAAGGAAGCTGTCTCCCCCTTCCCCCATCTGCTGACTTGATCCTACCAAGACGACCTGGAAACCACGTGTTGAAGACGGCAGAACTGCATGGAAGGAGCTGTGTGCCTGAGTTATTGTGTGGAAAGCCACCTGTCAAACACCTGATTGGACTGTGAGGTAATTCACTGGGGCTCTGGGACAGTTTGACAGCGCAGTTAGCAGGCCCTCGCTAATACGTCGCTCTTGTCCTTTAGGTTGAACAAATCGGACGCCGGAGCTATAGAGTAGCCTTGCTACATGGCGTGGTCAAAGATGGTGTTTCCCAAGAGGTTTGCAACACTCCTGCTGCTTACTCTGCCTTCACTTCAAGCAACATAATTTACATCTCCTCAGCAGCACAGGGGTCCAGAGAAAAGGGGTTCAAAGTCAGAAATACATTCTCTCCTTTCGATTTACCTTTGCTGCCCATCTGTGCTGGCCCCACAGTCAGAGCCCGTAAGCCTGTCAAGATCTCTGTCTATATCAGTATTTCGTGAATACAGAAAAATGGGCTCCCTGGTGTGACTCCATCTCAGAAACCAAAACAAACTATCCAAACCTAGCCCTTTTCACTTCTTTCAGGATCATTCAATAAACATAATTGGTTTTCTTTAGAAATAACATGGTTGTCTAATTTCCTTCAGTAGCGGCCGGTTAAGCAACATCTCTGGCTTCCTATGAGCTAACTCACCAGCTCCCTGGGCTCATTTTGGACTTTTCCTTTCACTCTTGAGATAGCCACAATCTCACATCTTTAGTGTCACCTCTGATTTTCCTGTTTAAATGTGCTTCCTCTTCCCTCTACGTGGTTTACAGATGGGGATGCGTCTTCACAGCTCCACGTGTCTCTTTATCTTCGGGAGTCTCCGTAACCGTTCCGTGAAAATGTTTCTCAAACCATTTCCTCTTGGGTCTATCTTTTCTTTAAGAGAAAGAATTTCAAAGTGAAACTCAGTAATGCACAGATCTGTTTCTCTTCTATACCACGGTTGCCGCCTACCGTTTCCTGAACCTTCCCTCCAGTTCACCCTTCACAGGATGACTTGAACACAAGCCACCAACTGCCAGCTCAAATCAAACAAGATAATGTCCAACTTGCTCTTTTTTTTTCCTCTCACACCTGTCTTAACATTTAAATTTCTCCATCCATGGATGAACAAATCGCTTTGGTACACTGTATCAGGAGCTTTGAAATGAGAACAGATGAAATGCAAGCAAGCTCACACGTAACTTGTGAGACTCACGTGTAACCGTCCGAGAATAAGAGGGGAAGTAGGATTGTCATCTGGTGTGTATGAAAAGTGCGCTCTGACAGGTAGAGGGAGAGATCACCGTGTGCCAGAGCCAAGGGAAGGTTTAGTAAAGATGGGACTTAGCCCGTAAGGACTGTTAGGCTACAGCAGCAGGAAGCGCAAGCATTTCATATGTGGGGAATATCATGGACAAAGGCACAGAAGCAGAAATACTAGTCACGATCACAGTGGGTCCTATTTATTATGCACCGATTATGTGCCTTGCACCATGCCAGGCCCTCCACATTCATTATATCCGACCCTCAGAGCAACACGGGGATTATGAAGTGGGTATTTTACAAATAAGAAAACTCAGTTTTAGAGAAGCACTGAATGGCAGAATCAGGATTCAGGGTCTGTGCTTCGCCCACTACATACGAATGTGGGGGCGGTTACAAAGGTGCTGCTCCGGGGAGCAGAAGGCAGTCGACTAGGCAGGTCTGTGAAGCTGGACTGTGGAGATGCTGGATGTTGAACACAGATGCTGGACTTGATGTGGCAAGTGACAGACTCTGGAGTTAGACAAGATCTGAATTCAAGGTCATGTTCCATGTTAACTGTGTGACTCTGGGAACCATAGGTAAACTTGCTGAGATTCAGTTTTCTCCTTTGTAAAATGTGTTCGACAGTACTATTAATTTATAAAGTTGAAAGGCTTAAATGAGATAACATGTTTAAAACTTCTACTAAAGTACCTGAGATGTAGTAAGCATTTAATATACGATAGATGTTTTTGTTGTGGTTACTGCTACTGCTACTACTGCCACCGCAATAGTGTTTAAGGAAGGTAATCTGGAGAAAAACAGCTAAAAGATATTTCCTGGAGAGATGCAATGAGAACCCGTGGGCTTCTCAGGATAGGGAGAGACAGGTAGGAGTGAATTTTTAAGCATGGCAAAGATGAGTCCACAGCACTTGGTGACTGATATAAGGGACAAAAGAAAAGGAAAGCCCAAAGATTATAAATTTAGGAGAATTTGAAGAGTGTTGATATAATAACACAATCAGAAATTAGGAAGTGAGTTAGTTTGAGGGTATGGATGATGAATTGAGTTTGAAATGATGATAATGCATCAAGGAATACCGTATATACTAGAAGCCTTGACCAAATACTTGATTCTGGAAATATAGATATTAGGATCATTATAACAAGTGTATTTATTGAAAAATAAAGATGAGCTAGAGCCTGGTAAAACAGGAGAAGACCAGGGATGGGGACTGATCCCTGGGGGAACGCGGTACTGGAGAGGAGTCAGTGAAAGACACAAGAAGGAGCAGAGGAAGAGGGAAGATGAAATGCAGACAACAGCAGTCACAAAACAGGAAAGGGATGCTCCAAAAGGCGAGGGAGGTCTACTGTGCCCAGGGCTGCCGAGGGGAGAAAAGACTGGGGGCTGGGAAAAGGCTTCTGCATGAAGCCCAGACTGGAGGGAACCAGGTGGGAATGAAAGACAGCAGACTCTGCTCATTCATTTGGGATGTAAGTTTCAGAGAGAACTAGGCTGTTGCTAGAAGTAGTAGCAAGTTCTTGGAGGGCCAATACCACTGATAGTCTTCAGAGTGAGCTCAGTTCATGTCTACCCCTTACATGGCACATCTCTTCAAGGACTGATTCCCAAATCTGTACCCTTTTCCCATTGCTACTGCCACAGTCTTAGCCTGGCCTCTGTCAACTCTTGTCTTCTTCTTTAGGTCTCACTGTTGCTACACACTTATCAACTTGATCCATTTCTGTGGTCCCCAACCCCTAGGCTGCAGACTGGTACCAGTCCGTGGCCTCTTAGGAACCAGGCTGCACAGCAGGAGGTGAGTGGTGGGTGAGCAAGCAAAGCTTCACCTATATTTACAGCCGTTTCCCATCACTCACATCACTGCATAAGCTCCACCTCCTGTCAGATCAGCAGGGACATTAGATTCTCATAGAATCAAGAACCCTACTGTAAACTGCGCATGCGAGGGATCTAGGTTGTGCGCTCCTTATGAGAATTTAATGCCTGATGATCTGAGGTAGAGCTGAGGCGGTGATGCTAGCGCTGGGGAGCGGCTGCAAATACAGATCATCATTAGCAGAGAGGTTTGACTGCGCAATAAATGTAATGCGCTTGAATCATCCCCAAACCATCTCCCTACCCCTACCCCGTGGTCTGTGGAAAAACTGTCTTCCATGATCCCAGTCCCTGGTGCCAAAAAGGTTGGGGACCACTGCATTTGACCCCAACCCCACCATTTCTGACAATGTCATGGGTCTGATAACCTCTAAGAAATCCTTCTAAGCTTGTCTATTTCTCCTTCAAAGATGTCATCAGGAAGGAAGATTATGTTACCTAAGTTATTTTCTTCTTATTTGACACAGATGTCTAAAAAAAGGATAGCAATCATTATTATCATTGTGGGTTTCATATTACTCCTTTCAAACACATTCAAAGTTCCTTAATTCCATCGTGAATTGTACCCAACTGTTATCAAACTCTTTTTTTGGAGTATGTGCCACGAGTAATCTCACTGGCCCAAAGCACCTTGAAAGCAGTTCTTAGAAGCACACTGCCTCCATAAAGCTTATACAGTCGGATTTCTCTAATTCCTGCCCTGATTAAGCATAGACTTCCATGATCACATCCCAGATATTAATACCTCTCTCCCAAACATGCTTACTTCATTTCATCTCAAGTTACAAACATCATGTACCAATGAACAATGTATTTATAGATACAGTCACTGCATTGTATAAGTCATTTCTTATTTTCCTTCTGTTGTTGGTTTTGCCCAATATGCTAACCTGATTAGCTTCATTTTTTTAATATATCACTTCATATCATACAGGTCAGAAACTGTGTCTAGCTCAGTTTGTCTAACTAGAGGTCACTCTCTAGACTACAGTTTTCCTGCACAATGTCATGTTAAAAACGGCACCTTACGAATGCTTTTTGTTGATGAGTTAATAATGATTGTGATCCCAATCATATTCTCTACAGGTTTTTTCTTTTATGGTGGCAACTAGACAGCCTCACTTTTCTTCTAATTTCTGCAAATCGACTGCAGTCATGGTTAACTTTCTTAATTGTCAGAGGCTCTAAGTTCCAGTCGTCTATCCAGAGAGTTTTAGTGAAGACCCTTTTTCTCAATACCTGTATCATAATGTTTTCCTGCTTTCCCTGCATGTTATTTTGCCTTTGGGCAGGTACAACAATTATTTTCTGCTCTTCTGGGGTTTCAGCACTGACTTCAGAGCACCCTTGTTCATCTCACTGGGAGAATCTCTGCCATCAAGCAGAGAGATGCGTAAAGCCCAGCCTTTACCAGAGTGTGACACATGGACATGATTGTAGTGGCTCTTGGTGACTGTTCCCTGTGGTGCGCACTCTCCACTCTACCACTGAAAAGATCTCCAGTTCCCAAAAGAAATGGTGGACTCAAGTATCATATCAAAAGAGATGGAGTCTTTCTGAGAGATGTTAACACAAATGAGAACAACGGGATAGAAGAGGTTTATTATAATAAGAAATTATAGGCTCTTAAGCTTGCCAAAGGGGGGATGATTCCCAACTTTTCCACAGTGAGATATTTATTGAGCTTAAAATGCTATTAATAATTTGAATTGTAAATCTCTGAAAAGAAGGGGTGAAAAAAGCTAATGGGATAAAATTTAACAAGGTGAGTCCTGAGTGTACATTTGAACAAATTTCACAAGTACAAGAAGGCAGACAGTATGCGTTGCCACATTTAGTTGACTACTGGTCGGTATGAGATAGCAGTGGGATGTGGCCATGTAAAAGCCAGAGAAAGTTTATGCTATGTTTAATAAGAGCAGCAGTCATTTAAAGTATGTTTTAGTTAAGAATGTATCCTGACCAGAAAGTCACTTACACCAGCTTAACAGTCAAATAGCAAGAAACATGGAGACAGGTGGCTGTTATTTTTGATTTGGCAACTTGACAATATCTCTAGGATTCTCTTAGCCTTTCTCTCATGCTTGCCACCTCTCAGTCACAGGATGGCCACTGCAACCCATGCTAGTGCCCAAACTCAAGGCAGGAAGAAGGCAAAAGAGGGGCAGCAGCCATGTTTGTCTTTTTCCCGGCATTCCTTGAGGATTTCTCACTATCTGGAAGTGCAATGTATGACCATTCTTAGCTGCATGGCTGGCTGGGAGAGTCAACGTTTGGGTTTTCCAACACCTGCATTAGACATAGGCAAGAAACTGGGCAACAGAGAGAGATCTTGTCTCTAAAAAAAAAAAAAAAGGGCATGGTGGTGCT